CCTCCGTGCCGTTCGCAGCCATGTAGGTGCTTAGATACACGCCCCCCATGATCCGCAACGCCGGGTTCCACGACGCCCGCCCTGTGTACAAGTCACTGGCCGTCCGCTTGACGGCAGTGCCCACCCCAATGTGGTCGAACTGACTCCGGACAATGGCTAAATCCAGCACCGTGATCATGGGGCTGACGAGAGACCCTGCGACCACTGCAGCGGTTATAGCCCCTAACGTGGCGTTGGCGGGGTGGGAAAGGCCGATGTTGGGAACGTGGAGTTCATGCGGCAGGTGGATGCCGGCGTCGGTGATCACGTGCACCCCCGTGGAGGCCATGGAGACGACCGTGTTGTTCCGTCGCAAGGCTTGTCGACCTTCTTCTGCCATGCTAGAGAGTTTCCGGCTCATTTTGGAGGTGGTCTCATCGGCGCTGATGGAAAGCCGACGGATGAGTGACATGTTCTGAGGATCCTCGCCTGCGGTGGCGCTGGCGCTGGTGGAAAGGGCGGCAAGTCTCGCGGTTGAGGCTTGAGCAGAGAGATTTCCAGAGCTTGTGGGTTCCGCTTGCACCTTATCCGAAGCAGGTGGAGACGAAATCGCAAGGGTAGAGGCCTTGGAGGAAATGCCAGGCGGCTGAGAGTTCATGGTAGCAGTTCCTGCCGGGGACGACGCAGTTTGACCCATAACTTGCAGGATTTATCAGGCGGTGTACTTCTTTGAATGTTTACTAATTGAGACTCTGAATTTGGGGAATGGGCCACAGTTAGAAATCGGATAAAGGTAGCCTATGTAAACATGTATTACACCAAAAAAGTTGGAACACTTTAATATTGGGATTTAAAGCTGACATAGATGCGGGCTCATGATAGTGGTAAATATAATCCAAAAGCTGAAGCATTAATATTGATTTATTCACAAACCGTACAAGGATGGAGATGTGCACTTGTATAACACCTTTATCCCAGGACCCTTCTCTGAGCCATACGAAGGAATGAGTCTGAAGGAGAACTCCAGCAGGTTGTTATTTCACAGTCAATAGACCGTCTTACATACTCAAATCTAGTCTTACACCTTCTACGGTGGCGTAAGACTTGCTTTTCGATGCGTAAAGGGATTCCTGTCCCCGGAAAAATCTGCAGGATGGACTGGCGAAAGGACCGGCTGCCAGGAACGTCCTCAGCCGTTTGGGCGGCCGTTAACTCGGAGGGTTCAACCATTTAAAAACAACACAAAAGTCCCTGTCCCTGTTTATGAAGGATCAGGCATGAGATGAAGAGCGGCGTAAAAAGTAGCGTTAGCTATCGAAAAAGGTCATTTTTGCCTTGGCTTTTGGAAGAAGGCGCATAAATGCGACTCCCCCGTGAGACGGCTACGAGACTGTAGATGTTCAAAGCTACGAGTGATTCGAACATTCAGAAAAATCGGCGTGGATATTCTCATGAAAACAACAAAATATTGCCGGGATATTTCCTCAACTTTCCAATAATATCAGACCAAAAGCAAAGAAGCATATGGAATTTCTGTTTTACCATTCAAAAACTCTTGTCATTTGAGCTACCTCGATACAGACATGCATTGGTACTCTTTAGGCCCTAAACTTTTCCCGTATGGCTAGTGCACAACTGCATGGCACATATCCAGTTTTCGCTTGCTTTCAAGGTATCATTCATCATTTCTGACTATTTTTGGCTCCCATAAAACTTGCCCCATGATGCTTATTAATATCCGCTTGGCCTGCTCATTTGTACATGGCGATCGGGCCGGATGTATATGCCCGCAGGCGTGACACCATAGTTTACGAATTGAGTGAATTTTATTTGGGTATATTTGTAAGTTTGTGAGAAGACCTACAGGTGTGAGATCGGAGCGCTTCGTCGTACGGTAGAGAGCGTCCTGAATACCAAGTATAGTTTCATATTTAATAACAATACGCCTACGCATGCACCTAAATCCTTCGGCGCCGCCTCGTTCTATTGTCGCTCCTCCCCCGAAGACAGGGGCACAATTACGACACCTTTCCCCTCCCTATTGTTCTCCCGCTCCTCAAAGCTCTCTTTGACCTGATCGTTCAAGTAACCACCGACCCCAAAAGCGGGAATAATCCGTAAGACCCTCCCCGAGCACACAGACATGTACCCCTTGGCAATTTCCTTCATTCGCATCCGGAACGGGCTCTCGGGATGAGAATAAATGTCCAGAGAGAGTATGTGCAGGGGAGTGGAGGCCAGCTGGGCGATCATGGGGACCGCAAACGAGGCGGCGAGGTCGGCGTTGTTGTGGCTGAGCCCGTGCTCTGCTTCCAGACGTTCCTTGATCGTGTTCTGAGCATACGAAGGACACAAAAGGATGGCAATGGTACGGGGTGAGCAAGGAAACAAGGCAGGCAAAATGGACCCAGAGGGGCGCGGGCACGAAAGAGCAGAAAAGAAGGTGGACGAGGCAGGGAGACTGCCATCCCGCTGCATGCTGCGTACTAGGCTCGGGTGAATCCTATCCTCCCTCCGTCCCTCGCCCCGTTTTTCCCAACCCACCTTGAGCACGAAGGAAGACGTGACGGTCAGGCCGTCTCTGAGGGCGAAGAGGCCGTAGCAGCTCAGCGGGAAGACAGTCGGTGCCTGGACGCGGGAGGAGAGGTAGGGAAAAAGGAATCGAGGTCCGTGACGGTCAAGGGATCGATATACATAGTGTAATGCTCTCCCGCCTTTCTGGGTTCATGTTGCTGTTCTCCTCGTCTTTCCCCGGTTCCCTTCCTCCCTCCCCACCTCCCTTCCTCTCTCCACCACCCCGACGCTACCTTAGAGCACATGCGCGCAAACTCCCTGTCCTTGTAAGCGATCGCCCTGCGAAGCAAGGAGGGAGAGGGGAGGATGAACATGGAGAACAAGGGAATGAACGGTAAAGTCGAAAGACAAGCGCCAGTCCTTCGGCCTCTTCGCTCTCTCGCCCCCCAATCCCTTCCTTCGTTTTTGTTCGTCTCTATTCCTTCTTTCCTCCCTTGGTTACTCCTCCCTTCCTACGTGATGTTCACGAGAGATGTGGCTACGGCTGTGGGTATCTTGTAGTCGATGCCAAGCTCCTGGCAGAGGGCGCTTGTATAGTTGGCCGTCAAGTAGGTGCTGGGGGTAGGAGAGTGCATGGCGAGACAGGGAGGGAGAGAGAAGGACAAGGGACGACATAAGTATGCTGTTAGGGCCAAAACGTGTCTGCAACATGGTTCTGGACAGGTTTTGCTTGATCTGTGTGAGCTTCATTTCACGCGTCAGTCTGTGCGTGTGTTTCTATGCGTCTTTGTAGCCGCCCCTCTGCCTTCTTGTCCCGGTCGCCCCGGTGAAGCCGGGGACGCTTTTATGGCTCCCTCCCTCCCTCCTTCCTCGTCCAACATGCCTAGACGACGCACCTCGTATAGACGGTGCTCATGATACTCAAGGCCGGGTTCCATCGCATGCGGCCGCTCAGCAGGTCGCTGGTAGTGGAGCGGAGGGCCGAGCCCATGGAGGATTTGTTGAATTGCGCCCGGATGCTAAGGGAGGAAGGACAAGGAAAGGGAGCGGGGATAAAACACATCATGTTAGACGCATAGAAACGATCTATATCTAAAATGGACAGCCCTGCGGGTGTCCAGAATGTCTGTAATGGTTTGCAGGAGGGGAAAAGAATAGGCATGGCTGCAGAGGGTCTGGATGCGGACAAGGCAAAATTTTGCCGTGCGAGGGCGTCGGTGGTAGTGCCAAGCTGTCAAGAAAGATGCGCATCCCCCTTCGTATTCAAGTCCGTGGCACCGCACTAGACTACATTCCGGTGCCAGCACGCATCATTTATGGCACGCCTTCCCTATGACAGAGCTCTCAATGCTGTTGCTGGGACGTTTCCGTCCGCGGTAACTTGACGCCTCGTCATTAAATTTTCTGTGGTATGCCAAAGGGACGCCTATGGTTACTTACATGGACAAATCAATGACGGTCATGGCCGGAGAAACCACTGAAGAAGCAATCACAGCAGCAGCTGTCTGTCCCAAAGCCACCTGGGCCATGCGGTTTTGCGGATGTGTATACTCATAATGTGTGGAGGCGGTCGTGGAGGTCGCCTGGACTGTTGTATACTTGCTTGCAGAGGCGTTGGACGACGTGGCAGATGGTGAAGGTCCCCGATCAAGGTTGTCTCCCATTCCGGGCTGGTGATAGATTGACTGGACCTACATATATATGAGGAAATCAATCGATTAAAGGAATGAAGGAAGAAAAGGTGTCAAGGAAGGCAGTCCAGGGCTCTTATTTCTATGCCCGTTGCTCGAATCGTGGAGCCGACGGGCGAGGGACGCGATGTGATGAGCGTCTCGTTCGCTCTCAGAAAGGGTGCGCGAGGGACTCCATACATGC